CTCTAACTCTCTAATGGCGTGAGAAGGAAAAAAAACAATCCTATAACAACAGTTAGCTGCTTAAACACTCAAACAGAGTTAAAAATGTAACCTCCTTTAAAAACACAAGGTGAAGTCTTGCACAGATGTCAGTCAGTGTCAACTCCTGGATATTTAGCTAAAACCCCATCAAATAAATCTGATCAGACTTTGCAATCAATAATATACAGTACTTGCGGGTTACTGAATTTTTGTCATTTTCCCCCAGAGCCATGTTTCCCAAACTTAGGGTTGGGACCCAAAATGGGCCGCAGAACTATTTTGATTGGGTCACCAATAGATGTAAAATGTAAAATGCATAACAATATTACAATATGTCAATATGTGAATGAGCTTTCATTTTTACTATACTTGTCGGTTCAGCTCTCCCTTTTTCGCTCTCCCTTCTCCCTAACCCGATCTGCTGTCCACATTCATACAAAATTTTTATGCCCGCAGTCTGCGAACTGTCACTGTCGAGCCTATGGTGTCCAAACTAAAGTACAAGAACCAGTTTATTAATGTTGGCTTTACCAAACCAATTCGGAATTGAGAGGATATACCTCAATGGATAATATTTGGGGAAGTGCTCAGTAAGGAGAGTATCAAAAAGAATTATTTTTGATTTGCAAAGAATCCTTCAAGATGTGCTGATTAAATTTTGAACCACATGCTTGTGAGAAACTGGCTTTTTGACTCTAGCATATGTGAAAAACAAATACAGAAACAGACTAATGCTCAGCATAGATCAGCTGGTTGAAAACATTAACCAGCCACATACCTGTCATTAAATTCATGTCAGCTTCATTAAAAAAATACAAGTTGGTGCTGGTGCTGAGGGATGATGGGAGGGGATAAGAAAACGAGAGTTGAGAAAGGGGTGCGACACAGAAAGGAGAATACACCACTGATGTTTTTATTTACTTTTATAATAAAATAAATACATTTCATATAGATTTTATATTCATGGTTTGTGTTCTTTATCTGTAGTTTATGTAGCAATTCATTATGTATTTTTGTAAATTTGGCTCCCTGGGAGACACCAGATTTCAAATTCATATTAGCTTTATTGGCATGAATGTATAGCAACAATATTACCAAAGCTACATATAAAATTTCTCCTTTGGGTCTCGCTGGTATGCTGAAAAAGTTTGGGAACCAGTGCCCCAGAGCATTTGATTTATTGGTTGTTGTCGAAATGTAAGATTAGATTTTACAGTTTTATTAATCCCCACTGGGGAAACTCAATTGCCTCCAGATCACATCAACAACATATAACATACACAGAAAAGACAACCAGTATCAAATTTCTGTTGGGATAAAAGACTGTCTCGGCCGTTCGGGCATCTTCAGTTGGCCACTAAAGAAACTAAGACTTAAAGACACTGTGGAGTTGAGGGTCTACAAGATCCATGACATTCTTTAGCTTGGCACTTGGTCTCTTTTCTATTATGACCTCCAGTGGGTGAGGGGCAACACCAATCACAGAGCCAGCTTTTTCAATCAAACTTATTGATCCTGTAAAAAGACTTTCAACAAATGCTTCAGAAATAAACTGTCCCAACTACTAAGGTAAATACCTGGCTGTTCATGCGATAAAGGCTCCACTATATTCACCAGATGGTCGTAACTTAAGCTGTTGTTTGGTGTTAGATGGATAGCGTACAGTGGGTTGTTGGAAGCTTTTTCACTGAAAACAGCTGCCCGCTGCGGCTGAAAATAGCGCTGATGAGAGCTGCAAGACTGAGTCAAAACCATAAAGCTGTGGGTCATAAAACCTAAAAAAAGAGCTAACAAAACAGTAAATGCTCCGTAGATCTGAGGGGAACTGCAGAGTCAGCTGATAATTCTCTGAGATTCTCTGTGTTTGTTAATACGAGTGACCACTTTTAAATTACACAAAGTCATTTGACCTCTTGTTCATTGTGGTGGCACTTTAAATTCACAAAGAGGGAGTTCAGAGGAGTCTTTCAGAGGTTATTGCAATATTCAGTCATATTTCCAAATGGACCTCTGAGCTTGCTAGGCTAGGAGATACTGAATAAAGTTGAAGATGAAGGTACTTGTACATATTACATACACATTACATACATATTCTCGCCGTTGGCAGGTGTCCTTAAACTCAGTGTTTTGTCTTTAGATTCACAACCTTATGTCTACAGAGTGTCTTTCTGCCTTGAGTTGCTCACAACATTAGCCAGGAAGCCGAAGGCTGAATTCCACATGAAGCAGAGAAAAGACAAGGTCTTAGGCAGTATTCTGTCTAATAAAAGGCAGTATAAAGTGAATAAGTCTTAAAATATTGATTTGTGCAGCTTTACACCCACAACAGGTCTCAAACCCACAACAGGCCTTTAAAAGGACTAATTTACCAAAACATAAATATATGTGAAAACAAAAGAGCTATGTGCAAAGATAGTAAGTAAAATCTCATTTACATGTTTCTGGTAAAAAGGAAACTTAACCACATCAGTAGAACACAAAATGATTGATGTTGAAGTGATGCAAGGCCAATGTGCTGGTGTAAAATATAAATAATAGCATCTTTACACACATTACTTCCTGTTAATTTATACAATACAAATGACATGTGTATTTACAGTGAAGTACTCTACTATCGGCAGCAGTATGTTATGAAATCAACTCAGTCATGCTGACAGACTAGGTGAAAGGGAACAGCTGTGATTCAATCACTTAATAGTTTAGTAATACTAAATAAAAGTGAAAAATGACCATCGCTATTTCCTACAACCTAAAGTGAAATCTTCAAATTGCCTATTTTAAAAACTCAAAGATAATCCATTCACTGCAATCAAATGTTGTTTGAATAATGACAAATGGAAAAAATAAAATCAAAGAATAGTGGATACATATTCTGTCAACTAATCTATGAATCTTTAACCACCATGTTCAACTAGCATTAGCGAAGAGAAGATTGACTGAGCCTTTCTTTCAACTTGCACCATGTTTTCTTCACTATAAAACAAGCTATCAAGGCATCAGAAACATGTAGGAGAAAATTTCTAGCTACTAAAACCACCATGGGTGTGTGCTGCTTGGAAATAGATGACACAAAGAAAATCCTTGAAGATGAGAGGCAAATGTCAGCCAAGTCTTTCAGAAAAGAGGCAGTTTCAGGTCATGAACACTGCACTGACCAGTATCAATCCAGGAAATAATACACAGCCTGCTGTAAACATTTTTTAGATGGTTTTCTTACTGATCCGCAGCAATCACCTGCTCATATCTTGCAAAATCTACACCAACTATAATCCAAGAGTAACACAAACTCTAATAATTTCACTTGCACTGCCAACTACTGGTGACATCAAGCATGTTCACACAACCTGTGTAACTGTGATGTAGTCCCCGCTTATGATTACAAATCAATCTGTTATTTCTTACATAGTTTTCCGAAGCACAACTCTTACTTGATACTTGATACTGTAAAAGTAAAATGTCAGCCAGGAAACATAAGTACCAAGCCAGCAAGAAATAGACAGGATGGCAGCTCACCATCAGCCTGGTGTATTAGGCTGTTGAGCATTTAGCAGCCCCTGGTCAGTCCTTTGTCAGCAAGTCACCCAGAACGCATACATAAGGAGTTAATAAAAGGTGAAATTAACAGGGCTGTAAAAATGTTTTAAAAGGGAGAGATGTGAGGCAAAGGCACTACTGAGAGAGGTGAAAGGGACAGGTGCATGCTGTTGCACGCTGATTTGGCCCACTTATCAACACTGTCGTGGAGCAGCTCCTGGGAGGCAATTAAGGTGCATTACCTTACCTTTGGTGCCTGATTGCCGCTATTAACGTAAAAAATTTAACTCCTTCTCTCAGTCATGAGTCAGTCAAATGTGAACACACAGATATGATACAAATAGTTTTAGTTTAGAATGACTTTTCCACTGTGTTGAAATCCTGCACGTACAGTGTCACACTTTGCAAACTGGTCTATACCTTTCAACCTCCTCCTAAAATCTGTTGAGGAGTTGCTCTTTTTACCAGTTGCTAGAAGGCCAACAACCATAGCAATGTAAAACACACATCAGTTCTTTAAATTACTGCATGCTTGGGAGCTGCTAAAATGAGACTTAGCCTGCTTCCCTTTCTGTCATATTTAAAAATAAAACAGTAAGCAGATGTGGGAGGGGGGACTCTGCTCCATTTAACCCAACTTGAGGCATGAGCTAAATGTGACAGCCCCCGATCTGAGAATCTGTCCTAAATATGAAAATATCGAGCTGTGCTCTAATAATACAGCACTGAGCTTTCTTACTTGTGTTCTTTTGGGGAAAGAAATAGCAACAGAATCACGGATGAGAGACTATTAAGAGCCCAGGGGGCCAAACACTGACCACTGAGGCTGAAATGATTGTAACAAGCAAAGACAAACAAGAATGCTTTATGCAGCCATCTGACAGCAAAGTCCATACAGAGCAATTAAAGTCCATTAAGACAACAACATTTCCTTTTAATTAATTAGGATACTGAGACACAACGTCAGAAAAGTACAATTAGATTCAGTGGAGTATTTGACACAAAGTGAATGTCCATGTCATTATCCCAGAAAGACTAATGCACAAATTAAAGGTCAACAAAAAAACATAATGTACCGTTTCTTTAATCTTGTGATGATTTGATTATTATTGGTTAAAAAAAATGAGCCCACATTTATTTGACCAAACTAAAGCAGTGAGACTCTTACGCTTTTGGAACAATTAGGCTTTAAATATTCATTAATAATAATTCATTATTTCTCCTACCAGGATGTTGTCATATTATTGTGTTGACTTACATAATTCAACCTTTGAAAGAAATTTCTTTATGTACCCAAATCTAAGCATTATAGGTATATTTCAAATTTTTGGGAAGCTCAGATGACATGACTGGCATGTCTCTCCTGCTGAGGGCTAATCGAGCTCTTCAGGTGTGGTTGGCAAAACAAACACAACCTCCTCAGGCTTTCCGTGACCATAACTTACCTGCTGACTCCAGCAGGATGTGGTAGTCTGTTCCTCTCTGAGTGGGCGTGTCATCATCAGGCTCCTGTCTCTCTGACACCTCGTAACGGTCCCAGTTTGACTCCAGCTTCCTCCTGGAGAACATCTCCATCCTGCCATCTTCCTCCTGAAAGTTGTCCCCTTCATCCTGATCCTATAAGAGAACATACACAATGAGGAACATGTTATTCGAGTGACATAAAAGTGATACCAGAAGTGCTTTTCATATGGCACATGCTTAGCTCAGAGTTTAAAGGTGTCAGTATGCTTCAAACAAACTAGATCACTTGTCAAACCATATATCTTTTGGTTTTGGACAGTTGATTGAAAAAAAAAAAAAAGATTTATAGTTTTCTAAATTTCTAATCCATTTCTAATGGGAATAATCATTAGTTGTAGCCCTAGAACACTGCACGCAAACATACTATGGAACCATCTTGCAATTATCAGGAGGTACACACACATACTACAAATGTTTGCAGGTGCTGGGTTACAAAAGTACACAGCATTTATTTTATTGTACCATCTTCCCATGAACGCCACCTTTTGTGGCTTTCTGGTTGAGAAACCATAACATCACCGCTGAAATAAGCGTTCTTTTCAAAAACAAAATGGCATTTTGATATTAATTTCTTTGGGCTTTTTTTATTCAGCTGGGGTACATCACAAAATACAGAATTGGCAGTGTGTGCAAAACTAAAACGCTTCCATTACTAACTTCAAAAAGTATTAACTGAGCAGAGCCAACTAACCTTAGGTATCGTGACTAAGATTTTGCCATTACAAAAATAACACTTCCACTGGCAGTGCACCATAAAAAATTATTCAAAGAGCATTTTGTCAAGTGGTCATTAACACATAGCTCTTATTCATCATTTGTAGCTAAGCCTAACAAAAAGGTCGAGGTAAAAGGCCCGTCCCACTGTATGACAAAGAATAGACGTCTGTGCCACAGCTGAACCCATTATATTTGCGTGAGTCATAGATTTTTTCCCCCTGTTTTGTCACATAGCTGCACAAACCTTTATTAATGTTGTCATGGAAAAGTGTGCAACGCAAGATGTGTCAGATGGACAAAGTGTGGTTTTGCTAATTTTTTTCTGGTATTGTGTCAAAACTCAAACACGCCGCATAATCATCAGACCCCATAGTAGCTATGGATGCACCAAAGGAGATTTGTATGATTGCAATCAAGGACCCCTATGTATCGAAGGAGATTTGTATGATTGCAATCACAAAGCACCCTATCGTTTCTCTAGTAATTCTGTCGTCACCATGGCAGGAGAACAACTGACAGAACATCCCAGTGGAAATTAAGCTGTCTGACAGTCTAATGTCATGCCCAAAAGCCAGATCATGCAATGATAATGATCAACTGCTATGGAAGACATTTCAAGTGTTTCATCACCATGATGTTACACTAAAATGCTTCATTCTTCTCTAAGTCTAACTCTTTACATCCTGACGGGGATCTTCTCATGTGCATCATGCATGTATAGTAGAGACATGTGGATGTGATAATGATGACACAAACCCACTCTAAAACGCACAGCAATCAACCAGTGCATATGGTACTGTGGCTGTTAAAGCTCACAACTCTGCATCTAGTGGATTAGGTACTAGTAACTAAAACAATATAGTAGTAACTAACTTAATGGAATTAGATACTAATAAATAAAGTACTAGTAGCTTTTAAATAGCAACTAGTAGGTTTTAAGGAATAAATGTTAAAACGGCTTGCCATAAGCAACTGCAACGGAGGATGTGCTTTGATTGCATTTAGGTTATGCACGAGGCATAACGTTACATCTATTTAACAAAAAAATATCAATATAAATTTTTTTTTAAAAAGCTCGGTACCAGCCTCTAAGTTTCAGGTATTAGTAAAGTAATAAGGCCGAGTAAAAAAGGGGGTCCTATTCAATTTTACATCATCGTTCAAGAACTGTGTGCGTCTCCAAAGTAAACCAACTACAAAAGTAAAATTTTTTTCAATGCGGTTTGGTGAAGCGGGATAACCTATGGAACGCGATTCCCACGCTGTCTCACCCATAGGTCTCACCCGGTGATGGAACTCCGCTGCATGGGCGCCTCCCCCGCGTCCACGACCGCGGTAGTGGTCTCTTTTACCACGGCCGCGGTGGTGGCCTCCTCTCCCTCTGCCCCGGTGTTCACCGCCACTACTGTCGTTGTCGTATCCACCCCGGCCACCTCTTTTCCAATTCCCTCCTCTGCTTCTGTTCGGTCTTCCCTCCATTACTGTCAACTGTGGCCGGACAGTTTAGCAGCGACACCTCAGGTTGGAGCGGAACGAGTGTTTCATTGAATTGTGTCCTACGACAAAAATGAAGTTGGATGGTTCCGGGGCTTATTTGGACCAAAATAATTAATGTCACACTTGGACGGAAGTATAAACAATAAATAGTTTTGTTGAATTAATTAATTTGAATGTTATTTTAGTGCTAAAACTATTCTGACAATATAGGACATATAATTACACCATAATGCATTACGCCAAGGGTCTATTTGATTAAAATAAAATAAATACTTTTTTAAAAAATGCATCAGGATTAACATACAAAAATAAATATCTCCATGTTAAAAAAGCAAAGTTATTTTTGTTTTCAGTGGCCCTCATGCATTATATTATAAATTTAATTATTTATTATTATATAAATTTAATTTTATATTTTATAAATATAAATATAAATGTATTTATTTAAAATTATTATGAATTATTATTAAAATAAATACATTTTCTGTACAGCTTTAAATAATTGTGTTCTTATGGATAAAACATTCTGCAAATAATATGTAAAATCAGTAGATATGTTTGCATTTCTATAGTAACATTTAGTACTATAAAACAAGTAAAATAAGCTTAATTTTGTCAAATAAAGTGGTAGTTTACATATCACGTTTACATAAACTGAATACTACTGTAACTACAGCACTTATAGCAGTGTACACGAGTTCATGTTTTGTGACCCCTTGATATATAGAGAGGATATATCTACACAGGTTTATCCTGATATAATAAACATTTGACGAAAAAATAAGTATGTGTCTCACTAATGTTTTTCTTTTTATTTCAGGAAAACTCTTAATGGAGCCACAAAAGGGCACCTGTCTCTGACCTGTCAACGGTAACACAGACAGATAACACAGAGCCATGGATTTAGATTCTTCAAACAGCACTTCTGCCAACACATCACTTTCCCAGACGGCTCCCCACAGCCTTTTGGAGATTATAACCATTGCTACAGCATCCGCCATTGTCAGCTTGATAACTATTGTTGGTAACGTGCTGGTGCTGCTGTCCTTCAAAGTAAACAGCCAGCTGAAAACTGTAAACAACTACTACCTACTGAGTTTGGCTTTCGCTGACCTCATCATAGGAGTGTTGTCCATGAACTTATACACCACGTACATCCTGATGGGTTCTTGGCCCTTGGGAAACCTTGCATGTGATCTCTGGCTAGCAGTGGATTATGTAGCCAGCAATGCTTCAGTTATGAACTTACTCGTCATCAGCTTCGACAGGTACTTCTCCATTACGAGGCCGCTGACTTACAGGGCTAAAAGGACTCCCAAGAGAGCTGCCATCATGATAGGCCTTGCATGGCTGGTGTCTTTTGTCCTCTGGGCGCCACCCATTCTGTGCTGGCAGTACTTTGTAGATAAGAGAGAATCTGACCAGTGCCAGATCCAGTTTTTAACACAGCCTGTGATCACATTTGGGACAGCCATTGCTGCTTTCTACATCCCCGTCTCTGTTATGACCATCCTTTACTGTAGGATCTACAAGGAGACGCAGAGACGGACCAAAGATCTAGCAGAGCTGCAAGGTCTCAAAACAGAAAATGTTCTAGAGGGCACTAAACCCCAGAAAACTATCATTCATTCTTGCTTTCATTTCACTAGAGAGAGGAGAGACCAGAGTCAGGCCTCTTGGTCCTCATCTAACCAAAGTAACGCCACTAAAACTACCACTAGATCAGATATGGCATGGGCGAAAGCAGACCAGATCACTTCCTTTAACAGCTACACCTCATCTGAAGAGGAGGAGCATCATGTTTCGATAGAAACCCCACAGGGATCTTTCAAAGAGCAAAGTAGTGGTAATAAGAACGGGAAGGTGACTGATTATACAGAAGATCAGTACTTTTCCACTCCTCAGAAGAAGAGCAGTAAAAAGCACATCTCTTATAAGTTCAAACCTGGTTCAAAGGGAAAAAACGGCAACCCTACCATTGCAACACCATGTCTGCCTGAAGCAGAGCAGCCCACGAAGAATGCCTCCCCTTCCTCCTCCACCACCTCCAAACCCATGGACGCCGTCCTGAAGAACCAGATCACCAAAAGAAAGAGGAATGTACTGGTGAAGGAGAAGAAGGCGGCCCAGACTCTCAGCGCCATCCTCCTGGCCTTCATCCTCACATGGACGCCGTACAACATCATGGTGCTCATCTCCACTTTCTGTGGCACATGCATCCCTACGTCCCTGTGGCACCTGGGCTACTGGCTGTGCTATGTCAACAGCACTATCAACCCCATGTGCTATGCCCTCTGCAACAAGACCTTTCAGAAGACCTTCCGCATGCTTCTGCTCTGCCAGTGGAGGAGGAGGAGGAGAGGCGAGGACAAGCTGTACTGGTGTGGACAAAATCCCAACGCCAACAACAAAATCACATAATGTGGCCCTGCGAAATTAGAGCAGACGTGTTGCTTTTGCCCACATGTGGATTTTCCTGATATATACCGTAGTCAGTGGTCATCTTCAGCATGAAGTGCTGCATGTGATTTTTGTGTTTAAGTACACGTTTGTGGAAAACGAGCTGAGCCTGATGCAGCACTTCATCTGCAGTTCCAGATTATTACAGAAAGTAAACCTAACAAAGGTTAAAGGTTAAAGAATGTGTTTGGATTATTTTAAAGGGGAACTCCACCAATTTTACACATCAAAAGATGTTTACAGGTATTGGAGAGTACTACTCCATATGTATATAAAGGTATATGAAGCCTTTTGTGGCTCCTAAGGGAGCAACATGAAGTCTGTTAAACTGCCCCAAGCGATGTCTCCTGAGTCAGTGTACGTTAGGGTCTGAAGACTACAAATTTGAAAATGAAATAATTCTGGGGATGTAAGTAAGAAAGAAGTGAGCTTACCAGATGTCTGTGGTTTGCTCCTCACTCTGCTTGAGGCTAGTGGATTACATTAGCCGCTACTACAATAACAGACCCTGATCTCCAACCTATCTGTCAGTGGTTGAGTTGCATTGTGGGTAACATAGGCGGCAGGTTTGGACAAGGTAGAAGAATGCGTGGGGGAAAAAAGAGATGTCTCTGATTGTGCTACATTGATTTTACAACTGTCCATCATAAATTCAACAGTGTTATAGGTATGTACTCTTTTAATACATGACTCAATGTTAATCTGTGCATTGAAAGTGGTTGCAGTAATTATTCCTCCTCTACATACTGCCAGTAAAGCGATCTCAGATTTTTGGAGGAGCAAAAGTAATTTAACGATTTAACAGGTAACTAAACTTTTTTTGTGGAAACATCCACACGCAGAGTATTTTTATATGTCTTATAACATGTCCGTCTTTAAAGATCAAAGCTAATATGAGGCTTCAGCTGCTCTTTGTCCCCCTGATTTTCACAGACAATTTGACAGACAAACCATGACAAATACAACAGAATATAACTCAACAGGTTAAAACATTCTTCTTTCAACATCAAATCATGTATTCTATTTTTTTTATTACTGCTCTTTCTTTTTTTGTTACTAATTTTGTATCTTCATATGTGTTAATAATTTATTTGTTCCAGTATGGTTTTGTTGGAGTGTACAAGCTGCTAGCTCCATTGCCACTAATTCCATATATAGAGCCTATTAAAAGTACTCACCCTATATGGTTTCATGTTTTTTTGGTTTACAACGTTGAATCAGTCAATCTTTTGTGGCTTTTTTTTGTACTTCAATAGAAATAAACCCTTTAATGTCAAAGTGAGAACAGATCTCTACAAATATATCTAAATAAAATACAAGGAGGGTCCCATTTCTGTATTTCCAGTCCATTCCCTTGTCAATGTTACTTCCAGAAAATGCAGATGTAATAAGGCACCATTTTTTCTTTTGCTTTACATTCCCAGGTTGTTTTTCCAGTAAACACACGGCTGGACAGTTGTGAATCTGTATAATTAACACTGATGACAGGTAATCAATTGCATCCTTCAAGAATGACATCAGGGAAAAGCCATTTTGTACCAACCTCATCAAAACCATGCCAAAACATTTCTATTATAGTCTGGTTAATTTTCTTTAATCTACATGGTGTTAGATAATATATATGAAGAACTTTGAGTTTTAATTATTTTATACCTTTCAGTTGAAGAAATTTAAGATAATTTCATACTAAAAAACACCAACTTGTAAGATATTTGGCTAATTTGGCTAACTCAGACAGACAGCTGAAGCCTTACATTAGAAATGGCTAAAATTTAAAATTAATTTTTGATAGTAACGAGAACTGGGGATTAGAGTCCCACTATGAAGGAATCACTTCAGCAGGAATAATTACAGGGACTATGTAGGTTTAACATACAGATATGCGAGTAAAAATGCCTGTCTTTGAACCTGTCTTTTAAACCTCATATAATCCTCCCTTATTCTACTGCTCACTTGCACTGTATATAAAGGACATATTGTAGTCTTACACATTTCAAAATAATTTATAGCACAAAGAACATATTTCACTGATACTGTTGGGTTTTTCACCTCACAAATGGTAAATGTAAATTGATTAGTGTAAATCAGTGTTTGGTGAATGTTTTCTCTTTTGTTTTATATTTTGGCTCTTGCAATCAATATTTGATCTTGTGTTCAAGGGCTAATCTGTAAATTTCCATGAATTCACAGTAAAATGACATACAAGATTGTTTATGGCTCACACCCCTAGTCATTTCAATATTCATATAACTGTAGTTAAAAAAAAAAAAAGAACACTTGGACACATGGCATTTGAAGCAACGTCTCTCTAAAGGATGAGTGATGCTCTTGTAAATTATAGCACTTATATTGTTGACGATGTAATGTCAAATGTTATCGCCCTAAACTCTGTGCCTTTTATTCTGCTCAGAGGCAAAAATGCTTTGTAAATGAACCTGTGCTGTTTTTGTCCATCTGTGCAGTTTTGTGAAAGTCAGTCTGTGTGTACTGATTGTTAAATAGAAGAAAAGCAGAATTATACTTTTGTCAGCATGAACTTTTTTCAGCATCAAATGTGTTGAACTGGATCTTATTTGGTTTGTACTTGTAAGTTTCTGTTGATGCAAATCACTGCCCACTCCAACAATTGAGTGATAAAACTAACGTGCCATGGATAACATGCACAAACAGCATGACAGAACAGAGCTCAAGACTTCCCGGAGAGGTCATCAGAGGTCTCTCTGGTCCAAAGACTCCATGTCAGTGCGGATGTTTTGCATTACAACAGTCTGGTGCAACACTAGTATTAAAGAAGAAGTCTGGATATAGATATCCATATTTTTCTTATCGTCAACAAAAACCATGAAAACACCACAACCAACAATGAACTGATCCTACTAAGCATCATCTATGTAGAAAAAGCTTGATAAACCTTATTCTTCTGTCATAAACCTCCATTGTTGTCCAAAAACTATTAAAAACCACACTGTTTCACTGGGTGACATGTTCCTTTATTACAATGGACATGACAACTATACTTTCTTTTGAGCAAATCCCACATACACAATTTTCTCCTGTTTGGGTTGCATTTGGCAGTCCCCGGCTGTTTTAATAAATGATTTAGCTTTAAAATAAAAATATGAAAGTATATATTCATTCTGTTTTTTGAAGTTGGAATGGGCTTGGGGCAGAGAGCCACAGATAGGCTCGTGAAGTCGGAAATATTGAGACAGACTAACACACTGTTGTTGTTGGTATTCTAATAGGATTTTTTGACTGTAAGAAAACTAACCAATAGCCAGATTGCTTCAAGCAGCAGTTCCCAAATTTTTTGGATTGTGGTCCCTTCCTTTCATGTTACAGCCTTAGTGTGATAAAGCTGTGTAGGGTCAAAACATTGATCTGTTAAATTAAATCTAATAAGCTACCACAGTGCAGTACAGTGTGCAAATCTTTTGTCTGACTTTGATTTGTTTTTTAAACGAGAACCTGTACGTTTTTTTGGATGCATGCACTCTACACTTTGTTTGTCTTCAGACTGACAGGGCTACTGTCTGTTTGAACACGGCCTTATGCTGTGTTCCACACAACTCAGAACTGTGAAATTTCCAACCTCCAACCAGAAAAACAATCCTGAAACGCCAGCTGAAGTCGGATTCCGTACTTGTGAACTCTGAAACAAAAAAAACCTGAATAAATCTGTACCCCGCCTTCACGAGGAGCAGCTGAATTACATCACAAAACAATCTCAGCGCCCATGGAAGCACACACTGTAAATGGTAAACCATCACCAACTACCAACTAAAAAGCAACAAAAAGTATATTTGCATGTATTTAAATTAAAATATTACATACAGTCATATAGTAAAACCTGTGCTGCATGTACATTGATGTAGAAATATGTTGGGCCTATTAGGTTGCTGGCTACAGTAAAGACTCTCATAAAGTCATCTTCTCTGCCTAAAAGTTATTGTTAAAAATGCCAAAACATTAGGAAGTGTAACCTACAACATTGACTGACTTGAGGATCACCAACTGATGTAGCTAGAGGGGTACACAGTTAACTAGTAACGTATAGGCTATTTACGTCAGTTGTTGCAGTTAAACTGCCATCCTTTTAATTAACACCTAAAACACTGCTGAGGGTGCAACTGTGTGTACACTTTGTCACGGTCAGCCATGGTTTTTGTTTACTTTCGGCGTCATGCACCACCATACACCTGGAACGCTTTGAGGTCGGAAGTCAGAAGTTTCAACTGGGAAATATCTCAGTTCCGATCGGTCTCGAATGCGAATTACTAGAGAACATCTGCTGTGAGCAGTACAACCCTAGAGGGATTTCTTAAAGAGTTTTTGATTGAAAGGATTTTTAGTGGCCTAAAGACATGAAACATTTGTCTTTCTCATTCGTGTCACCACCCACATTTACCCAAACGCTGGAAACAGTTGTCTTAAAGCATCAAAGTTCATTAACATTTAAAATTGTAATTTAACAACAACAAAAACCTTACTAGCTCTTTCCTGAGATTTCAACCATACTACACATCTTCAACAGCGGATGGAGTTTGCTCAGGTGTCATGGTGATGAATCTGTTGACGTGAGCTCAGTAGCACTGGACCTTGAGTTGGGATTGTTCAAGTGTTATTATTGAATAGTTAATGGAAGTGTTATATATAAATAGTTGAATATAACATTCATTATATCCGTTGTATCAGCAACTGAGTGGCTTATCATGAACTGAAGACATTCAACACAAAAATCTTTACTTTTATATGGACGTTACTGTCCACTTTATTAAAAGTAAAGCCAATTACACTCTAAAGATCTTGAAAGCAACCACATAGCTCTTTTCATCCTTTGAACAGCCAATGATTACCATTTTTAATTTATACACCTTAGGCATGTAATGTACAGTATGTGAAATCTGGCCATACATTCTGTCACACAGTAATTCTAAATGGCCATGTGTGTTCACTCTCAAAACAAATAAGATGGTCTGAAATAAAAACACAGTTGTTATATACCATTGCGATTTATTTATCTAGGCTTTTAAATAAGAATTTATCAGTCTTAAAATTTAATCAATCTTCATTCACAGTCATATTATTGAAATCGGGAAAAAAAAAAAAAGTCTCTGTATATATGTTCTCTTTCAGGTAGTGGAATTAGCAGCAGTGGAAAAATGCACACCGGAGGGTTAGCAAAGAAAAGACTGATGAGTAGAGTAGAGCCACATGTAGAAAGTATAGAGCAAATGAAGGATAACAGCTTTTAAGACATTTCTATCAGTGCAGTATGAAAAAAAAAAAAAACTTTTTTTTTCTGTTTCCAACAGCATATTAGAAATCAAGATGTGCTCAAAACATCTATTAATAAAGAAAACTGTACAATAGACCCGGGGGGGGGGGGGGGGGGGGGGGGGGAATGACACTTAAAAACCTTGCTTCCATGGCATAACTCGAGCTTCTTTAGGCAGATTGAGGGGACACGTGTAGTACTACCTCCTTTTGGCAGCTGGCCTGGTGCCCTTGCTGCTGCCACCTGCCTTGCTGGAGCCCTTGGAGCCCGAGAAGAGCTTGGTCATGAGTTCAGAGACATCTGGAAGCTCAGGGTTGGGGTTTAGCATGTTCATGGACTGCTCCATTTCCTGCAAAATTTAATGAAAACAGCTGTAGATGGAGACACGAAAGGCTGGGGACAGACTCACTCTCACAAAAAGAAAATCATCACAAAAACAATTTCACTGACATTTCTCACAGTTATGATACGCTCACACTTCGAGATGAGGCAACAACTGGGTATCATGAATTTAATACAAATATTTCTTTGACTACTGACATTACTAACTCTATTCTTACAGGAACTTGCGCGGTCTAGTTCCATTTAATAAATCTGTGTTAAACTGATCAGAAAGTAAATACAATTCAGAGACACTGCATGATGAACTCAATATATGTACAATATTTTTGAAATAACACTTTAGGCTACTATTGATTCATTACCTTTCTCATCTCTGGGTCATTGGTGTTGACCACCTTAGGCAGCAGAACAATGATCAAAAGGGGCAAAACCATCATCATAACCTGCAGGAGCAACAAAGACAATACATTTAAACAAGAGAGCCAGAAACACAAGATCTTTCTTTTATACCTGCATACAGTATGTATGGAATATATGCTGAAAATGTATACTGGCAAACTACACTCAATGACTTACTTTAAATATAAATACATTCGACCACCTTTTCTTTACCAGTGTGTAACAAGCAACTGCACAGGACAGGTTGTTTTGCACAGGCACAGTTTGGTTTGACTACTGAATAACTTTAGATCTGTTTGGTCAACAGGCAAAGGGAAAGTCGTGCAAAAAAATCTCCTCAAGGTGAGGGTGGTTTCTATTAAAAGGTAAGGCAGAACGGAAAACTAAGTATTTTCTCCTTGCATTTCCTGGCCATATGACCGAAAAGCTTCACTAACCTCAATCTAAACTTATTTGACCTGCTGGACTTCTCTGTACCTGCCTGAGGGTACACATCATACATATTCAGCAAGCTCAGGTTTTTATACCATTGGGTTCATGAGGAAGTCTGTCCAGCCCCAGGTTTCTCTCTTCATGAAGTAGCTGTGAGGACCATTAGCCCGGATTTGAAGAGGATATGGCTGGCGAATTACTTCTGAAGTCTTGATATAGTTCACAAGACGCGCCCTGTGAAATGACACATGGTTACTTTAGTTGGTTAGACATTCCTCTAAAAAAAAATATATACAAGTCACCTTTTGTCACATCGCTATAGTAAAAACTTACCTCATTTTGCCCTTGGATGTGATATCAACACGTACTGGTTCAAATCGATAGTTAGGGGTGACAACTTCCACAACGTAGGATCCTGAGGGGACGTCATTCACAGCAAAACTTCCATCAGTTCTGTAACAAGAATTGGATTTTATCAAGACTGCACATATACACAGTTTGTTAGGGTTTGGGAGGGAGAAGTGTTGATTAAACTCCATGTACATTTTGGAGGCTGTAGTCTGTGGAGTTGTTAAACAGCAAAATGAATCCATCTATAATATTGTCATCCTGATGATCCATACTGTATTTTTATTATGCTTTAATATGTTGGACTATTCATACACACAAAATCTATTGCATGTGCGTTCTGGAAGAGGGTACCCTCCTCTGTTGCTTTTAAGTTTATTCCAGTTTCCCCCGTTCAAGGAATTTTTTTCTTATCCAAATGGAGAGTCCTAATTTGGAGGTTGTTGTATGCTGTACAGATTATAAAGCCCCTTGAGGCAAATTTGTAGTTTGTAATATTGGGCTATGTAAATCAAATTCTGTTCACCCCATGTATTATTATTATTTTATTAGAGTGCAGACTAAATATTATAAACACCTCTTTGTAAAATGAAATGTAATTGCATTACGATAGGTGTAAATTATAAACTAGCAACTGAATGCATCTTATCTAGGTTGACTGTTAGGGCTCAGCCATATCCTAAAAATCAATGTCAATACGCCCATTACATAAAAATGCTATAATGCTGTTAAAAAATTTACAATATGCCTTAAAACCGGACTTGTATAAAACTAATAACGTTATACACCTTTTCCTTTGAGGTGGGTGGATTTAATTTATATAAAGATAGGATAGGTATATATAAGCTTTTGCTTCAGCATAACCCTTTTCAGTCACTATTTACTGTTTGAGTTTACACTGATCTGTGTACAATTATTGTTTTCATGCTGACTGAATAAACAACAACTACAACTGACTAACTGAATACTTATGTTGTTGTGTGGGAAGCATCTGAATTAAATATACTACTAAGCTAGCTATACATCAGTGGGTGTAAGACTGCAACAACAGACACGTCTCATGTGGCCAAAGGTTTGTTTTGGTTGCAGCTTCTGCTAGACTGAAAGGCCTGGCTGAGTTCATAATGAAATTAACTTCAGTGACGGGTATTAATAAAATTGCCATGTTGTTGTCCCAG